AAGAACACGTGCATGATCGCCAAGCTGGGCGGCATCAACGACACGCTAGTCGGCCGGTACGTCCGTGTGATTGTCGGTCACCCGCTGCAGGCGCTTACCACAATCGTCGCCTCCGTCGACGTCTGGGTGCTGGCGTTGTCGTTCGACGGCAGCACACACCGCGGTACGCGCTTCATGGATATCCGCGTGCGTGTCGGTGTGATGGGTGTCCTCTACAACCTGCATTTGATCGCGATGCCGCATTCACCGCCAAGAACAGGAGACCATGATCGTCAAGCTTCTCTATGCTCTATTCATGGGATGGATTCGGAAGCTGATCGGCGTCATGATGGATGGGGAGAAGACGAACATGGGGCACCGATACGGCGTTCAGGTGCGCATGGTGACGTACGCCCAGTTCAAAGTAAGTTTGAAGTCGTGGAATGGGATTTCTTGTTTGCTGATATCTTCACAAGGTCGTCCAAGTGTGGTGCGCTCCACACCAGCTCGACCTGCAAGTTCACTTGTATGTCGATGAGATCGACGGTGGCGCGTGGGTGAAGAAGACCTACGAGGTGACCGTGTACCTTCGCCGGTAGTCGAACCTGATCACGGAAATGGGCGTGACAAGCCCGAAGAAGACGAACCGGTGGATCGCGCTCGGCTCTGTGCTCAAGTACGACATTGCTCACGAACCGAGGATCACAACCTTCTTCGCCGAGCGCGCCGCCGAGGGCAAGTCGGCTCAGCCGCCTGTGCTGACGTCGACTTGGTGGATCCTCGTGCATGCTCTTTCCCCCGCCGTCGAGTTGATCACTGAGACTTTCGTCAAGCTCCAGCAACGCGATTTGGTACTCTGCCAGCAACGGAAGCTGTTTGTCGTTCTCGCCGACGAAATTGCCGACTTGTTCAAGGTGAGCCGCATTGCCGACTGCGAGGGCGACTTCGTCGACCTGCCTGACAACACCTACGCGCAGCGAAACCAGTCAATCGCGCTCATCGAGTCGCTTCGCGACTACGTCGAAGACCTCGGGTCGCGCGCTCGAGTGCACTGGGAGAAGCTCGACAACATCGAGCAATCACAAGTCTTCAGGACGATCGGACTGTTCGCCATCGGCATCACGGACGGCATCCGCCAAGTGGAAGCTGAGCGCGACCCAATGAACAACCCGTCCATAGAGCTCGCGCCACCCATCATGCCGTACGACCTCGTCAAGATGAGACCTGCCACATTTATCTCGGAGGTGCTAGAGCCGCGGAAGCCACAGCTCGAGGCGACGTTTTGGACAGCCGATCAGATCAACACCGCCGAGGTGGACCACCGCGATATGATCAAGGCGTACAACGAGGAGCCAGCGACGAAGGCGATAATCGACAGCACGACCATCTCAAGTCATTCAACGACGCGTGGGACGAGGTCGCCGGGCGTGGCGCCAAGTACCTCTAGCTGCGCCGCCTTTGCGCCGGTCTCGCGACTGTCTTCCCCAACTCGACGTCGGTCGAATCCGACTTTTCGATACTGAAGTGGGAAATGGACGAGTTCCGCATATCCATGCTCGACCTGTCGCTGGAAGGTATCTTCCAGGCCAAGCAGTTTGAGCTTCTGGACTCGATCATGTTGTCCCTTGAGCAATAAATTGCAAACCCTAAGGTCTAAACCCCTTCCACCTCCAACAGTGGATGGCCTTCCACTTTTAAGCTAAAGTGTTAAATGTGGGATCATCCACTTTTTATGAGGCCTGCCTGAGACGTCTGTACTCCTGTATTTCTATCTGAACTTTTCTACTACCAAAATCA